ACCAGTGCCCCAGTTCATGCACTGTCACCCTTCTACCCTCTCCCCCTTGAACTCCCAGAGCCAGGCAAAGACACACCCAGGCTTTGGGGGAAGTCTTCTTCCGGTTGTGGAGTGGGTATCTCTCTCCCTGTACCCCTCAGGGCTCAGCCACGACAGCCAGATCCTGACCACGGGGAAACCTAGGCCCTACCTCCTGGAAGTTCATGGCTCAGAGGACATCCGGAGGATACAGGTGTGGGTGCCCTGAAGGGCCTCCAGCTTCGGTTGAAGAGGCTTCTGTCCAAGGCAGCCTGGCAGGAGGGGAGGGGTAAGGAGAAATAGAGAACTCAGGAGACATGGAGCTGGGGGCGTTGGGGTACGGTGCCTGCATCTCAGGAGTGCCTCCCCAAGAACAGCTTGCTATCATACCACCCTAGTATTGTAGATGGTGGAAACTGAGGCTCAAATACTGATGAGGGCCAAAGTCACCCAGGGTCATTCCCCCTGATCAGGGACTGGGGAGAACAAATCTGCCCTTCTGGCTTTTGGACTAACTGCATCCCAGTGCAGATCCTGGTCCTAGCCTACTCCCCTCCCGACTGCCGGCAGGGGGCGTCATTACAGTTGATTCCCCGGCTCTTTTCTGGTCCCCACTTCAATCAGCGGGCGCCGGCAGCCCGCGATTCTACCGAGGCGCAAGGTTAGAAAGTAGCTCTGCTGCCCAGGACTGAGCCAGGCTGGACTCTTAGGAAACGGAGTACCTGGGTGCAGCCGTTGCTCGAGGGCAAGGTGCCCTAGCAGCTCCCGGAGCGACGGCGCGGGGTGGGCTGGGGTCAGGCGCCTCAGCCCCGGGCGCGGACCGATCAGTTCCTGGGTGCCCCGCAGCAGGCCCAGCAAGGTGTGCGCCAGCGAGCGCAACTCCGTGGATGACACAAGTCCAGGCGGAGTTAGACTGGGGTCAGGTGCCTTGCGCCCCACCTCCTTTCCAGGGACTGGGACTGACCGCACCGCCGCCGGCGCTGCAGGCACTGTTGGTACGCCCAGTGCCCACAGGCGCCCAGGGAGCCCCGCACAAAGGCGCTCGTAAAAGGCGCAAGCCGCGGCTGCAACTGTTAGCTCCTGGTCTGGCAGGTCCCGGGCTAAAAGCTCCCTGCAGCTTGGCTCGTGGCTGGAGAGGGCCGCTGTGGCCGGGGATAGGGACCAGCTCCACCCCCTGCTCTGATTCCGCACGCCCTCCCCTTGTGGGATACCGGTTTTGAGAAAGGAGCCGGGACGGGCGGGGTGGAAAGAGCTTGCCCTGGCAGGGGGAATCAGAAGAGGGTGTTTACCATTCATGTGTTCCTGGAGACAGTTTCTAAACACGGCCACGAGGATGTAGACCCCAAGCTTCCCCGGCTCCCCAGGAGGTGACTCCGTTAAGGACCTCCATGGGGTGGAGTCCAGGGGAGAGGACACTACATGTGACAAGCCCTCTCTCTGCCTGGAAAAGACCGTTCTGCGCCCTACAAAGGTCTCCATTCTTGCACCCATTTTAGTGAAGGGGATATCGAGGCTCGGAGGAGTTGAGGAACAGTATGACAGACGAAGGCAAGGAAGCTGCTCTGCCCTTGGGGAGCAGCACAGCCGGCGCCTCCGATCAGTCTGGGCTCATACCTGGAACGAGTTGATGAACCCCACCAGGTAGCTGACACAGAGCATACGGCTGGGGTGCAGCCCGGGTCCTAGGGCACTTTGGTAGAAGTCTGTGCTGAGCAGAGGACCGGCCTTCCTCACTGCCCTAGACTGTAGCCCGTCTACAGGGTAGGGTTCGAGAAACTCAGTTCTGGAGGGCAGGAGCCCTGCTTTGAGGGTCCTCCCGCTGCCCTTCTTCAGCCTGGAGTAGGTCAGGTTCCCTACACACCGGTCCCCCCACCCTATTACTTAACCACCCATTCTTCCCACGCCCTGCCCTACTCCTACCTTCAAAGAGTCCCCCAAACCGCAATGGCTCAGGCGGTGCCAGCAGGGGGCTCCCTAGGCGTCGGGGTGGAGGGTGGGGGGTGGGGGGAAGGAGGCAGGCATACGGGGCGCGCTACCCCCACCGGGCTAGCGGGTGTCCACGGAGCTGCACTAGGGCTAGGTCATTTTGGAAGGTCCGCGGGACATTTGGGGAGGAGGTGGCGGGACAGGTCAAGGAGGTTGGCAGACTCCCAGCTCTGGGGGCCTAGGGACTACTCTCTAATCTTGGGGTGGGGCAAGATGGTTCACCAGCACCTCCTCCGCCTTCTCGCCCTCGGGTCTCTCGGCCAGCGTCACTGTCCGCAGAAGCTCGTTCGGGGCTTTGTGACAGAGCGAGCGGCAGGTGAGGCACAGGTCGCGGGAGCGAGACAAGAAATGGGGAAGGGGACTCTTGACTCTCCGCTCATGGGTGTACTCGCTGGCATGTCGGACTGTTTCCCCGTCTGGAGGCCGAGAGTAGAGGTTAGAGGGAACAGGCCCCAAAGCGGGTTGAGAGAGCCACCAGGCCCGGTCTAGCTGCGGGGAAGCCCTGGGGCTGCCGCCGCTAGGGGGCAGCAGAGACTGCTCTTCTAAAGCTTGCTGTCCACCTCCGACTTGGCGGGGGCGGGGCCTATTCGGGGGCGGGGCCAAAGCCGGGTTGGACCCCAAGCTAAGGTGCAGCCACGGGTGGAGCATAGGCGGAGGCGGGGCCAGAACTCTAAGATTTACGCACTGAGGACCGGGATGGGACGGGGATATGGGTGGGCATCGGCGGAGGTCAGGCTAGAGTCCGGGTGGTTCCCGCAGTGTAGGGCTGGGCGGGTCCATGGACGGGGCATCTACCAGGACAGGATTAGAACCCGGCTGGGAGGGGGCCTGGAGCCATACGTACTCGACGAGCAGTGCGCGGCTCTCAGCACCCAGGACGCCTCCTCCAGGACGCAGCTGCACAGAGGCTGCCCGCCAAGCTACAGCCTCACTAGCCACGGCCAGGCCCCCCGCTGCGCCGCGCTGCCTTCCACCGTGTGACCGTGGGCCCGCGTCACATTGGCGGCACGCGGACGCTGTTCGCCACACTGCCCTAGAAAGGCAACACGAGCATCGCCACTGAGTCCCTAAGGTCCGTCCTACTCTCGGCCCCACCCTCTCAAAGCCCTTTAGTCTCACCTGGCTCAGGTGGGTCCCTGAGGAGGGAGACTTGAGGCCTGGGAGGCCAGGGTTCTGCTGAGAAACAGACTTGGAACCTCACTGCTATCTGCCGGCCCCTTCTCCATCCCAGGCTGGGCCTGAGGGGTCCTCCTACGACTCCCACTCACACCCCACCCCTAAGAGGCAGGTTCTACTCCAGCAGGGAGGAATTTCTCACATCACATCATCAGCATCACCAAAGGAGCCCAGACCATCCCTGCCATCCTCTGCCATTGCATGCGCTATTCCAGCCTGGAAGGAGACCTTCACCCAGTCTCTGTCCCCAGACAGGTGGGCAGTGGGGTCTGAAGGAAAAGATGGGATGGGCAGTTTGTAGAGCTCACCAGGGAACGGGATAGAGTGGTCACAAGCTTGACACTCACACAGCCTGTGTTGAATTTCCATGGCTATGCACTACGCTGGTCTGCTCAGTGCTCCTCTAGGCCGCATGCAACACCTGTGTGCCTTGGGCCTGCAGCACTGTGGGGGCCAAAGCAAAAGCCTGTTGCCTTGTCCATTCTGACTCATGATGGTGGTGGTGGTGATGTGCCGTGGAGTCCATTCCAACTCATAGCGACCCTTTGGAAACCCCGTATTACCAAGTAGAATTGTTCTGTAAGGATTTTCTTGACCGTTATCCCCAGATGGAGGTAGGTCACCAGACAGAGGAAAAAAGAAACCAGGGCACACTCAGAGCTGATGTTCCCAGATTCTCAGATAGCTCTGTAATTCAACTGGTATGGGCTGGGATCTTTGAAAAGCACGTTACAGGAAAACTACAGTGCCCAAGATAAGACTTCACAGCACTCAAGTCTGGTTGACCTAAAGTAACCATGGCTGAACTGCATGCATTTCAGTGCAGACACTCCATGCTTACCTGGGCCTTCCCACTAAGTCAAAGTCTGAAATCTCTAAATGCCCTTAACAGCTCCCCAACACTTTGCACCCTCTTCCTCCCTTGCCCTTTCTACCTCTCACTTTCTATCTAGCAGGTGGGCAGAGAAGGGGCCATATATTTTTGTGAGTAGGGATAGCAAGCTCATCTTTCCCTGTCTGGGAGCCCTCTCAGCTGCTTCCCCAGGCCAGTCCATCTCACCTTGCAGGGTGCTGGGAGGCAGGTGCACTGATGCTCATGGGCCGACCACGGGCCTGGGAGCAGCAGTAGCAGTGCAACCAGCAGCGTGGTGATTGGGATCATTTTTTTCCCCTTGGGGTTCACCCTCCAGGCACTTGTCCCTTGGGCCTGCTTCCCACTGTCTGCCTGCCCCTGGGCAGTGCCTTCTTGTTCCTCAAATCATCGGACTTTGCTCTCTTACTTGCTCATATTACTTGCTTTCCTTGGTCCATTTCATCCCTTGCCTGGCCTATAACTACTGGGAGCTCACAGGGGCATGGGGCTGCGGGGGGCTATATAGAGGACAAACTGGGAGGTGCATGGGAAGGGGGGCTAAGGAGGAAGGAGAGGACGGGAGAGTGGACTCAGCTTTCACATTTGAAGTCTCATCCTCAGGCTCTGAGCACCCCCGTGTCAAAGGGACCCTTGTTTCTATGGCTCCATCAAAGGCTCCTGGACAAGGAAGAAGACCTGGAAGTTGGGCTGGGGGCCAGGTGAAGCATGGAGGGCTGCTGGGGAAAGGGGTTCCCCATCTGTAATGCTGGGGGCAGATGCTCATGGGGGTAGGAGACAGGGAGGCTTTGGCAGTTCTACTTCTTAAGGGGCCCCAGCTTCTGGCCTTCTGCCCCTAATTGCTTGACCACATTCTCCATCAATGTGGCCATCTGTAAGAATGATCAAAGTACCCTAATTAGCACCCTAATTGCTGCATTGGGGGTGATGGGGTAGAAGACACAAAGCTGGGGACACTACAGTTACCACAGAGTAAGGCGGGAGATGAAAGGCCCACAGTGGCCCCCACTTCCTGAGGAATAGACCCCAGTGCCCTTGTACTCCCTCAGGCCCCTGCCTCTGCCCAGGGCCCACTTCCATCCCGTATTGTTTGCAGTTGCCATGATTGATGAGTCTGGCACGCTAGAATCTTCTGGAGTCATGTGGGAAGGACTCCGACATCAGGACACCTGCATCAGAGAGGAGGTGTCCTTTAGCCCCACAGAATGCCCTGAACCCTACCAACCACTCTGATTAGGATCACAACAGAAGGTCCTAGATAGAATGGGAGAAAAATGTGGTACAAAACTCAAAATCATAAAACAAAACAAAACAAAACAACCCACCTGACTAACTGGTCTGACGGGGGCCCTTAGAGACCATTCAAGCCTGAAACTGATCCCCAGGGCTCAATTTTCAACCAAAGGATTGAGCAATGTACCAGGGAGGTACACTCTGCTCAGAACAGCCAACCAACAAAAGGGCAGCATTTACTCCAGGATGAAGGTCAGAAGGCAGGAAGGGATAGAAAGGAAAAATGAATGGAAAAGCAAAACACATAGAGAGTGAGAAGAGTGCTGATTGTGGACATTAGAGTCAATGTCATGAACCAAAATGTGTATGAATTGTTGAATGGAAAATCAATTTGCACTGTAAACATTCACCCAGATCACACATGGCTTTCCTGATTTTAAACCAGGCAGCATCGTTCGGTTCCAAAGACTGCCTCTTGATCTATGTACAGCCTCCACATGAGCACAATTAAGTGTTCTGAAATGCCCATTCTCTAGGATGTTACCCACAATTTGTTATGATCCACACAATTGAATACCTTTGCAAAGCCAATAAAACACAAGTAAACATTATTCTGCTATTCTTTGCTTTTAGTGTTGACATCCATCTGACCACAACAATGATATCCCTCATTCCACATCCTCTTCTGCTCTTCTGACTTTAGCTTGAATTTCTGGCAGTTTCCTGCTGATGTATTGTTGCAACCTTTTTTTAAAAAATTTTTTTATTGCTATTTAAAATTTTTTTTTGCAACTTATTTAAACATTATCTTCAGCAAAACATACTTGTTTGATAATTTCCATATTCTGTTGAATAACCTTTCTTTGGAATGGGTACAAATATTAATTTCTTCAATTGGATATCCAGGTAGCAGTCTTGCAAATTTCTTGACATAGATGAGAATGCTTTCAATGTTGCATCCGTTTGTTGAAATGTCTCAACTGGTTTCTGTCAATCCCTGGAATTCTGGGTAGGATATAGGGACTTGAAAACAAAAGTCACTGCCTTTGAATCAATTCTGACTTCAGTGTGATAGGACAGAGTAGAACTGACCCATTGGGTTTTCATGGTTGTAACCTTTACAGAAGACTGCTTCATCTTTCTCCCACAGAGCGACTGGTTGGTTCGAACCACTGACCTTTTGAATAGCAGCTGCTCACTTAACTACTGCCCTGTCAGATTACAGGGAGGGGGCCACCAATTCCAGCAGAGCCAGCCCGAGATCTTTTTCCTTTCTGAAACCCTACGCTTTGATTTCTGAGGTGGCCACCTTTTCATTTTCCTCACTTCTCTGGCCAGTGACCACAAGGGGGTTTTCACTGAGGTTGCCACCCACTTGTGTTATGCCGAACTGGCTCATACAGCTCCCGACAAACCTGTCCTACCTTCCACAACATCACATCAGCAGTCTAAAATCAGCCACAGGGGAACTATTTATACCACGAAATTGGCACACGCTACAAATCAGAGCTGTTTGCCCTTGGACGGCTGGTTGTTAAACATTTGCCAGCACACCACAGAAGCACCCCCCTGTCTCTCCCCCCCAGCCATCACCCTTTGTAAAAATAATCAATACCCATGATTAAGGAGTGTCTTGAAAATTCTCAGTATGGCTTGTTGTACCTGCATCAAAATAGCTATCCACACAGGGAATATGGAGTCTCTGGGTAATGCAGATGTTAACATGCTTGGCTGCCAAACAAAAGGCTGGCAGTTGGGTCCATCATTGGACCCAATTTGGGTCCAAATTTCCATCTTTGAAATGTGATCATTTAACTCTGCTTTGGATTGAATTGGGGTCCTGGTGTGGCACTGTAGGATAAGCACTGGACTGCAAGGTCAGTTTGAACCAAAAAGTTGCCGATTCAAACTTACGAGATTTTCCTTGGAAACCCTATACAGGGTCTCTATGAGTTGGAACTGACTCTGCGGCACTTAACAACAACAATATAGTCTGAATTGTGTCCCCCCCCCCCCCAAAGAGTTATGTTGACATCCCAACCCCTGTACCTATGAATATAAACATGTCTGGAGAGAGAAGTTATGTTAATGAGATCATATCAGAAGAAACCTGACCCATTTTTGTGGTTTTCTTATAAAAATAACAGAATACACATACACACACACACACAGAGGAAAGGCCACATGAGGAACCTCCTACAAGCCAGGGACCATCCAGTGCTAAAGTGACAAAGAGGGACCCTCCTTTAGAACTAATGCCCTGATTTGGACTTTTAGCTCCTAAAACTGTGAAATCATAAATGTTTGCTCTTTAAAACCACCCAGTAGTGATGTTCTTATTCCAGCAGTACTAAAAAGCTGAAACAAACTCCTTCAATTTCTACTCTAATATTCCCATTTTCTTTCCTCTTCTATAATACATTCTCTCTCTGATCAGTATTTCCCACGTTGATTACTTTCAAATCTGTTTGTTAACATTAGATGATCTTTTTAGAAAACATGCTCTTTCTGATGAAGAGAGATTTGCTGAAACATTGTAGCTCTCTTCAGTGTTATCTCTGCTGTTTTCTTTTTGTTAAAATAAACTAAAATTAGATTTAGTAAATTATGTTAAAAATCCAATACCATCCCTTTTAATAGCAATATTTCAACTAATCTATTTTTCTAAACTTTTATCTGTATCAATGCAAGAAGAGGCTTCTAGAAATGGTGATTATTCGTTAATGATGGCTATTTCTGAAAGTGAGATTTATTTTTATTCTTTTTCTTTTTGCTTTCCTGCATTGCTCTAATTCTTAAAATTCAGTCGGCAATGTTTATACAGATTTAAAGCCTCAGCAGTGTAAAAGTAGAATGTGAAGTAGAAACCTTATCAACAATACAGTTTCTTGATGCAATATTTTACGCAATAGATATTTATTGCTACTGTTGTTGTTAAGTGTCATCAAGCCAAGTCAGTTCCAGCTCACAGTGTAACCCTGTCGTGGTTTCCAGGGAGCAAAGTCTGGTGGTGCTTATGATGGAACATGAGCACTTTCCAGTGGTTCAATGCATTACAATGTATCCAACCTTCACAATAACCGTTTGAGGAAGATGTTATTGTTGCTGTTAAATGCGTCTAGCAGTAGTAACCCATTAGTCAGCCCATTTTACAGATGGAGCCGCTGAGCTTCACAGATGTAGAAGGCTGTGGCTGGCTGAGACCACAGAGCTAGAAATGGGGGGACCAGAGATGGAAAGCAATCTGCCTAGAGCTTGGACTGAGTCCTTGATCACCTTTACACCCTGCCCCTGATGTCCATCCACAGGTGCTTCCTGACTGTGCTGAACTTGCCAGCGCTGCCAGGATGCCCACGAGGTGTCCTTTGGGACACCTGGCTGTGCAGAGCAGAGCACGTCGGGGAGGGGTGTGCTGTGATTTGTGTACCAACTGCAGGTCCAGCTGTGATGACCCATGGCAGGAGACCAGGGACTTGGAGGAGAGGAGCTAAGGGACGAGAGGAAACCCGGGCCCCAAATACACCAATATCCATCCAGGTCCCTCTTGCGTATCTTGTACCCAGATTTGTTCTACTCCCCAAGGCTTGCTGAGGTCCAGGAGGCTGGACAAGGAGTGCCCTAGTCCCCTCCCCACCTCAAGACACCAGGTGTGGAGTAGCAGGAGGGGACCTCTGCCCAAGGCCTCACCCCCTCTCCACTGGGCATGTCCAGCCCCCCTGCCCAGAACTCCAAGCCTTATTCATCCCCCAGGGTCCAGCTGAGGCTGCTGCCAGGCAGGGGACAAGGTGGTGGCCAGGGAAGCTGCAGGCAAGTGCACAAAGCCAATAAAATCCCCAGAGTCAGTTACGGCAGTGAGCATGGCATAAACAAGTGCTCTGCCTGCGACCGCCCCTCCCCCCTACACACACATGCACGCATGCACACATGGGCTGCAGCGTGGAGGCCCATTTGCAGTGTAATGGCTTTGCGACAGCAGGAATTATCTGCAGCATTAGCGGCGGCCAGGCTGGGCGGGGCAGGTCAGAGAGAGCTGAGAGGATCTGGGGGTGGACAGAGGATGACCAAGACCTAGCTCCCTGGGACAGTGCAGGGTGAAAGGCATGGGTCTGGGCTGCCTCTGAGACCTGACTCAGGACGGAAGTAAAGTCAGCCATGGTGCAACTATTTATACCACAAAATTGGCATGTGCTACAAATCAGGGCTGTTTGCCCTTGGACAGCTGGTAGTTAAACATTTACCAGCACACCACAGCAACTCCCTCTCCCAGTCAAGAGGGGACAGGGGCAGCCCGGACTGGGAAAGGGTGGTGGGTGGGGGTGGCGGTGGGGGTGTGTATGTGTGGGCATTGGTTGATTATTCGGCTGCCTGGGAATCGGGACTGGGCTGCCCAGCAGCACTGGTAGGAGGTGACTCGGGAAGGAGATCCCGCCTTTGTCAGGGTTGGAAGGCTAAAGAGCCACGCTTGGGGCTCTGGGAACTGTCTCTGATTGTCTGCTTCAGTTGAAGACTGGGTGGGAATAGGGGGATGGGCAGGGGTGTCCCCAGCCAGCCTTGGCAGAGGCAGCAAAACACCTGAAACCTCATGACATCAAGGGCGAAAGAGACCAGCTAGGCCATGGCCTCGGCATTTGCCATGGGGGTGTCAATGTGACCATCAAGCTAGGTTTTGTGACTTGGGTGGCAACAGAGAGTCACCCCCACCCACCCACCTGCAGGCGCACCCAGACTGCATTTGCTGGAAGAAATTGCTGGAGAAAATAAATCCGAACACATGATTAATGGGAGGCAGGCAGGCAGGCAGCCGCCTCGAAGAGCCGCAAGGGACAGAGTGACAGTTGGGCACAGAGCCAGTGCAGCCATGGGGTTTCTGGGAAGGAGCTGGGAGACGCCTGCCACTGGAGCTTCATGGCCATCACCCACACGGGCTGCCCCAGCAGGCCCCGGCCTCAGGTTGTCTCCTTCTTGGCTTGGTGTCACTGCAGGGGGTGCAGAGGTGGGGGTGACCCTGAACTTGGTGCACCGCTGACCTCTGACCTCAGCCATAGTTCATGGCCATCAGCAGCCAGAGCAGGGAAGACACCAGGATCAGAAGGAGGGGAAAGGAACGTCCTAGCTGTCAGCTGTAAGTCCTTGAGCAAACCCCATCTCAGCCTCAGTTTTCTCGTCTGTTCAGTGGGGCTTTCCTCCCATGCAAAGTGCCTACTAGACAGTCAAACCCACAGGGGTCCCAGTCAGCAGACTAACGACTAGGGTTTAGAAGTTAGGGGAATAACAATAAAAACAGCTACACAAAGTGCTTCCTAGGAGAAGCTCTGATGGCTTGGAGGGCAGGGCAGGTTTCTTGGGGGTCAGAAACAATGAAAACCAGTGAATTTGTGGCAAAATTTCAACAATTTCACCACATATTTTGTTGAGACTGTTGGAATACAGACAGCCTCACTCACTGCTAGTTGGGAGTGTCCGAGGGTACAGGCCCCATGGAAGGTAATGTGGTGCTGTGGGTTAATGCGCTGGACTGCAAAGTCATTTGAATCACTAGGTCGGCAGGTCAAGCTTACCAGTCACTGCTTGGAAACCCTATACGGGGTTAGAACCAACTTGACAGCGCTTAACAACAATACCCAACATTGCAGGTATCACTGGGCAGTGCCAACAGTTAACTCACTCACTTGCTAACCAAAAGGTTAGCTGTCCAAATCCACCCAAAGGTGCCTAAGTAGAAAGACCTGGCAATCTACTGGAAAATCAGCCCCTGAAAACGCTATAGAGCACAATTCTACTCTGACACACATGGGGTCCCCACGGGACAGAATACCCACATTAGACGGGGTTCTGGTAGTTCATTGGTAGACTTCTCCTTTGCCATGCAGAAGACCCAGATTTGATTCCTGACCAACACACCTCATATGCATCCACCACCTGTGTGTCAGTCTAAGCTTGCATGTTGCTATGATGTCGAATAGGTTTCAGTACAGCTTCCAGACTAGGACAGAGTAGGAAGAAAGGTCTGGCAATCTCCTATAGAAAAATCAGCCCATGAAAACCCTAGGGATCACACTGGGCCATATGGATCTGCAACAGATCCTGGGAATGGTGCAGGATCCGTTAACAAAATATGAGCATGTAGTTTTATTTGCTCGTGACATCCAAGACAAAGCCCACTGCTGTTGGGTCCATTCTGGCACATAATCACCCCATGCAAAGTGCCTACTTGGGAGTCAGAACTGAATCACAGAGCTCCTGACACGGTAAATGTTTCCGGAAGTAGACTGCCATAGCTGTGTCCTACAGAGCGGCTGGTGGGTTTGAACCAACAACCTTTCGATGAGCAGTGAAATGCTAAACCCACGGTGCCACCATTTCTTCAGAAATGACACAAGAAAAGAATGTCATTTGACCACCTGGGGTATGTGTAGAGGGAAAAAACAGGTGCCTGGAGTCAGGTGGAGGGGAAATGTTTTATGTAGTATTGCTTTGAGTCTTTGAATCATGAAGGTACTCAACAATCTAAAATATATTTAAGGGACTTTGTTTCTTTCTGGCAGGCATTGGGATCCTATGTGGAATTAGAGCGCTGGACCAAAGGAGCCAGAACAGCAGGAAAAGGATTTGAATCATCGATACATATACTGACAGATTCCAGGGCCACTCTCAGGCTGGGAGGCCCAGGAGGAAGTCTTGTTAAAGTTCTGGATGCTTCTGGACAAAGCAGGTTTGGGAACTGTTACTCTGGAGAGCCTTCTGAAAGGGCTCCCTGGAGCAGAGGAGAATAGGACCCCTCAACCAGGTGCAGCCTCAACCAGGTCTCCTGACTCTTGGCCTTGTGCTCCCCCAAGGTCCAGGACTCAGTAGGTGGAGACTGAGGGCGACCAGAAAAGATAGCCATAGACAGTTGGGGCATCTCTGTGGTGTAACACCAACAGGAGAGGGGCGGGGACTTGGAGAAGCACTGGAGATTCAGGAGAGAGAAAGGGTGTTTGTCTGGAGTCCGTGAGCCAGTTTCCTGAGGACTCAGCTTCAAACAGGGGACTACACCACCCGATTCCTGCCGGCCCTGCAGATACTGGGATGCTGGGACAGAATCTACCTCTAGAAATTGCTCCTCCTGGTGGGGTCGAACAAGCGTTGTGCGCCCCCTGGTGGCGATCTGTGAGAGGCGCAGACCTTGAAGAATGGCGAGTCCTGGGGTGGAGCTAGACCTAATTCTAGAATCCCAAGAGGGGCAGGGGGTTCCTGCAAAACGAAGGGGTCGCACAGCTAGGACACGTTGGAATACGAACCCTGGAGATCCATAGGAAAACGTCGGAGAGCTGAAGACAGAGCTGTCCCAGCATCCCCTCCTGACAGCCCCCCACCCAGAGAAGGAAGGGAACCCTTACCCATCTTGGTTGAAGTGGGTTCCTGCCTTTCCTGGCTTCCCACATTTTCCGCCTTGTCTCCCGGTTCTCTTTACCAAGGAGGCCTGTCCAAGGTTCTCATGATGCAGAGGACCAGGGCAGGGGGTGTTGTCCATGGCTGCACTCTCGGCTGCCTCCGTGGGCCAGTTCTCACGGTTCTGTGACCCCCCCCCCCCAGTGCCCTCAGGAGACTCAGGATCCAGAGCCAACCTTAAACTCAGCCAAGGTACCCATTCACCCAGAGAATGACTCCCCCTTTGTGGTCCCAGCAGCCACCAGCTGGGTCTACCTGACTGTGGGTAGATGTCTCCCTCCTCTTGAATCTCCCTCCACTTCTCACCCCCTTTCCCCTTCAAGTCTTTGTCTGTCTGTCCTTCCCCCATCCCTCCTTTCCTTTCCTCCTGCTCTCCTACCCTCTGTCTGGGTGCCCCTCTCTCTTTCAGATATGCTTACACCCCCTGCTTATCTGACTCCCCCTTTAGAGAAAGGGTCTCCCTCTGACTTGCTCTCTCTGTCTCACAGACACCCCTTCTGTTTGTCTCTCTGTACCTGTCTCTCCCTCCTCGTCACTCTTGGTCTCTTCTCTTCCTGCAAACTCTATCTTTGAGCATGTCTGGGGTCTGTCTGCCCTCTCACCCTCCCAACCCTCTTGAAACCCCCAGCATTTCTGCACCTTTCCCAGCTTAATCCTCAGGAAGCCTCCTCCCCCCAAGCTCTCTTCCTGGCTGTTGGGGGCGGGAGTGGAGGGGGGCTTTACTTGTCGTTCAGGCTTAATATCTTAATGCAAGGCCATTACTCACCCAGAGTCCAGGCAGGGCAAGCCTCCCCCCCTCGTTTGTCATCCACAGTGAAGCCTCTATGTTGCTCCTCAGGGATCAGATTAGGGGACTGACAGGCGGGAGGAGCAGATTCCACTGCGGAGCTAGCACAACTGCGGCCTCCTCACTCCCTCCTTCCCAGCTTCCAGGCTGGTCCCTGAACTGTGGTCCCTGAACCAGCCTCAGTGGGTCCCGCCCCTCAGCCCTGCCCCTTCTCAAAGTGCCCAGCCAGCAAAAGGGAGAGAGGAAAAGAGGACTGGGGCTGCTGGGGGCTGTTAAGCAGTTACAGTATATATGGCCCTGGCCCACCAGGCCCTGCTCTGAGATTCTTATATTCAGGATTCGCTTAGAACAAGAGGTGCTAAAATCCTCCTCCCCATTTTACAGATGAAGAAACTGAGGCTCAGGGACACCCAAGGTCACACAGCTGGCAAAGTCCATGTCAGGCATGGTGGTTTGTATCTTTGCTAATTTTCTCCATCAAACAACAGGGGGAGAGGGCAGGTATCATCCCCATTTTACAGATGGGAAAACTGAGTTGTCCATCCAGGTCTGGAGTCCTCTGGCATGACTTTGGGCCCTTTCTCGGCACTATGGTCTGCAGAGAAGGATGCCTGTGGCCACTGTGGGGGAGGTAGTAGTGGCAGGCTCCGTGACCCATCTTTGGGGCCATGCCATCTACCAGGGCTCTGGTTTGCAGGGCACTGTCCAGGGGAATCCTCTCTCTCTGCATCCCTCTGGGGCTGCACCTGCCTCCTGGAACCTGGAGCAGAGAGCTAAGAGTTGTCCCCAGGGGAGGGACAGGGAAGGGGCCTACCTGGAATCTGCCTGCTGCTGCCTGGACACCAACTCTTTCCACTATTTCCACATCAGGCCGGTTCCCATAGTAACCCTGGCTTGCTGTCTCCTAGCAACTGAATGGTCCTCAGAAAGGCAGGCAGAAGAGTGTCAAGTGTTGGTATTTGGGGCCAAAGAATCTGGGTTCGAATCCCAGACATGATATGTCATAGCCATGAGGTCTTTGGAAAGTCCCATAACCTCCCTGAACCTCTGTGTTCCTATCTGTGGAATGGGAATGATACTGTTCCAGGATTACGTACTGAGGTTGGCAGCCTCTTAAACTAAGAAGAGCTAGGCAAAGATGTAGACTGAATGACAGAGGTCCAGTGGGGCACTGCTGGGCATGGGTAGGGGTGAGGGAAGTGAGCCCTGGTGTGGCTGGGCCTCCCTATCCTGAAAGACCCCCAGCTTAGCCCCACCTCACCCCAATCCTTGGCTCTTCAGATGATCACAATCCCCCCTGGGGTGTTTTCTTTCATTTTATTGCCCACAGACTCTTTTAGAGAAACCACACTCCCATTCCAGTTCTGCCCCCCACCCCAATAAAACCACAGTGTGTTACTGATTTTTCAGATCTGCTCAGTTCTAAGGCCTTTACCTATCAGGATCCACTGAAAGCATTTAGCAACACCAATAACAATTTTACCCAGAAGATTCTCCCCGCCCCGCGCCCCAGATTCAGACGTAGACATCATTGAGGCTCAGAGAGGTTGAGTGCTCAAGGTTACACAGCTGAAGAGAGGCAGGGCTGGGGCTCCAACCCCGATCTTCCTGAGGGTCTGACTTAACATCTCTCCTCCTTGTCATGGTTAACTACAGGGAGTTAAGAAACCAAGAGAGGGGGATGAAAGAGCAGAGCGGTGGCCAGAAGGATAAAGAGGGGCACAGAGGGGCACACTCAGGGATCTCCGGCTCTGGAATTAGTCTCAAGGGGAGTTGTGGGAAGGTACCGATGTTGGGCGGGGGAGGGATTGAGTAGAATTCTGAG